GGGTCATCCAGTACACTATGTAAATGTAAACGTACGATGGAGCCAAGTTTATTGCGTGTTTTGTGGAAGTTAAAGTTATTTAAATCTTCCCCATGAAACTCTAAAGACAACTTAAGGTGGGGATTGTTTACTCGACGTTTTTTAACACGTTTTTATTAACTCAGCTTCGCGTGTGTTTGTTGTTAAAATTGACATCGAAAATTAACCCACTTCTGATTGCTCAATAGATCTGAAATTTGGCATGTAGGCTACTTTCGCCTAACAATTTCAGATGCAATCATAAAAACTAGCAATTAGAGACGGTAATTAGCTTAATTTAATTACGCCCCAAGGACCATAAAATTGAGGACATGATTTCTAAAGATACCGACAAGACTGGAGGCTTTATAGACACAGTTACTTCGGCCCCAATCGATGTGAGCGCGCTGGCCGTGATCGTATAGTGGTTAGTACTTCGCGTTGTGGCCGCGACAACCCAGGTTCGAATCCTGGTCGCTCAAGATTTTTTTTAGTCCGTGTATTTATAAACACTTAGTCAATTCATACTTAATCAAGTCATTAGATAAAGTAGAAAATAAACTATATAAAAAACTTTTTTAAAAACCACGTTTTTCATGTGTAGCAACGGACTAAAAAGGAGAAAATAAAATACTTAAAAAAAACTTTTTAAAAAACCACGTTTTTCTTGTGGACTAAAAAGTAGAAAATAACTATTTACATACATTTGATGACAAAAAACGTGGGTCGGGCAGATGGGTCGGGAAATTTGATGGTGAACGTACCCACGTTTTTTGTCATCAAATGTATGTAAATAGTTATTTTCTACTTTTTAGTCCACAAGAAAAACGTGGTTTTTTAAAAAGTTTTTTTTAAGTATTTTATTCTCTTTTCTACTTCGTGTAAAATAGCTACTATTTTCTCGGTTATTCTAGTTCGCTTAACTTTTAATTCTTACTCCCTTGACCTCCCCCCCCCCCCTCCGCCCACACACACACACACACTTATACCCACACTAGCGGTTTCAGGTAGCTACTTACTTCTTTGCCTGTATTACATTTGTCTGATAAAGCTTTCCTGATGCTTCACTTAAAGGTTGTCTAACCATTTGTAGACGTCTATTTGAAGTTGCCTACTTAAAACAAGAAATGCCGTCTAACCAGTTGTAGACGTCTATTTGAAGTTGTCTACTTAAAACAAGAAATGCCGTCTAAGATCTTGTTGAATTCTATTTACTCGCACCGTTTGAGCCCTACATAGATCTTAGTTTGTTTAACAAATAAAGATCCTCAGCATAGATCTTTGTTTCGCCAATAAAGATCCTCAGCATAGATCTTTGTTTCGCCAATAAAGATCCTCAGCATAGATCTTTGTTTCGCCAATAAAGATCCTCAGCATAGATCTTTGTTTCGCCAATAAAGATCCTCAGCATAGATCTTTGTTTTACCAATAAAGATCCTCAGCATAGATCTTTGTTTCGCCAATAAAGATCCTCAGCATAGATCTTTGTTTTACCAATAAAGATCCTCAGCATAGATCTTTGTTTTACCAATAAAGATCCTCAGCATAGATCTTTGTTTCGCCAATAAAGATCCTCAGCATAGATCTTTGTTTTACCAGTAAAGATCCTCAAGATAGATGTTTTGTCGGTCCGACCCACGATTATATCCGCCCCCCCCCCAGACCACATTGCTGTATCCCCCCCCCCCCTTTACCCAACTGTTGATTGAGGTACCCTGTAATCACCCCCTTTATGTCCTCTCGTTAATTGGTAATTAGCTCATCCCAGGGCTGCTCTATAGCATTGTATACAAGCCACCCTCACTACCCCCACCAATCTATAATTGACTATAACACCATCCATCACTCCCACGTCACCATCCTACCCACACCCGCACACTCCCACACCCACACATGTAGAAGATGTACACTGCCCTAAGTAGACGTCCTCCCAACTCCCTCCCCCCCCACACACCCACACACTCCCACACCCACACATGTAGAAGATGTACACTGCCCTAAGTAGACGTCCTCCCCCCCCTCCCCCCCCCCCCCACACACACACACACTCACGTACATCAAAGACAGTTTATCCCCTCATTACATCAGAGAAATTAGCTAAGCTTCAAGTCTCTTCTCCTAGGCGGAAGGTGGGGGGGGGGGGGGGGAGCAACGTTGTCCGAGTTAAATTTAATTCACAAATTGGAATCTAGGCTGCATTCTTACTCGGTGCTATAGGGTTGGTAGAGGTGCTACGATTGGGTGAAATGACTTTGTTTTAATGATTGGGTGAAATGAAATTGTGTTTTAATGATTGGATGACATGTCTTTGTTTTAATGATTGGGTGAAATGTCTTTGTTTTAATGATTGGGTGAAATGACTTTGTTTTAATGATTGAGTGTAATGACTTTGTTTTGATGATTGGGTAAAATGACTTTGTTTTAATGATTGGGTGAAATGGCTTTGTTTTAATGATTGGGTGAAATGACTTTGTTTAATGATTGAGTGAAATGACTTTGTTTAATGATTGAGTGAAATGTCTTTGTTTAATGATTGGGTGAAATGTCTTTGTTTAATGATTGAGTGAAATGACTTTGTTTTAATGATTGAGTGAAATGACTTTGTTTAATGATTGAGTGAAATGACTTTGTTTAATGATTGAGTGAAATGACTTTGTTTTGATGATTGGGTGTAATCAAATTGTGTTTTAATGATTGGGTAAAATGAGAGGTTGTGTTTAATGATTGTTTGAAATGAATGTGTTTTAATGAATATATGTGTTTAAATGATTGAGTGAAATGACAGGGTGTTTTAATGATTGAGTGAAATGACAGGGTGTTTAAATGATTGGATGTATCGCTAGGTCCGAAAGAGGAACTTTACGGAAATTATTGGACAAAAAAATTAAAACAAAATATCCTGCTGGGAAAATGTTTCGGCTGAGGCTAAAAACGAGTCGTATACTGTCCGCGACAGACATCTCGATGTAACTCGAGCCCCTAATTAGCAGGAGTGAAATGCCAGACTTGCTATCGTGTTGGTCACGTGTTCTGAAACGTTTTCCTCTCAAGTTCCGCTCTCATCTCTAATAACAATTATCTTCAAGGTGTTGTTTTACCTCAGCCGGTTCACGTTTAACCTGGTTGTCATTCTGTACCCAGGTGGGCTTTCTAGGCTTATAATGTCACGTGATTTCATACAGTTTTACCTTTGTACTGCTTATATTTGAATGTCAACGGTAAGCAAAGTGCGTGTTCTTTATTTGTCTAAAACTCGAACATCTTAAAACTTTTTTTTTTACCGGAGCTTCCAAAAATTTTATTTGTGTTTTTGTTTAAAGTTGAATTAAAACTTAGGCTAGGATTACATTAGTTCTACTAAAACTATGGCTAACATTACATTAGTTCAACTAAAACTATGGCTAACATTACATTAGTTCAACTAAAACTATGGCTAACATTACATTAGTTCAACTAAAACTATGGCTAACATTACATTAGTTCAACTAAAACTATGGCTAACTTTACATTAGTTCAACTAAAGCTAGCATAACGTCAGTTGAATCGGTATGGCTAGCTGTGTTAGATTGGTTTAGCAATAAAATATTCTCCATTCTGTCAAGTCTTGGGATGTGTAAAACATATTTGATGCTACTTTTATTTCTGTACAAACATCTACACGTTCAAGTGGTAATACAAACCAGTCACATCTTTGCTTTTGGAAACTTTGCCACCAGCATCCTAACCTCAATCTAATGTACCCCCCATCACCCCCACCCTCTTCTCCCAACACCGTTAGCCGTCAACACCTCTCTCTCCCTCTCCCTCTCTCTCTCTCTCTCCCTCTCCCTCCCTCTCTCTCCCTCTCTCTCTCTCCCTCTGTGGTCAACATTTCTATTGTCCAATCAAACGAGTGATCCCGTCGTTTCACGGCGACTGGCCAAACGACAAGCCATCATCATTAGGGCGGCCCCGAAACATAAAACCATTTCTCCCCCCCCCCCCTGTCACCTCACCTCACCACCTAGCGCCCCCGAAAAAAAAACACTCCCCACCCCATCTCCACACTGTCTTCTCACCTCACTATTTAGCGCCCTGAAACATACCCCCTCCCCCTTTCACTCACACTCACCCTAGCATCTAGCGCCCCCCCCCCTCCTATTTGTCTTCTCACCAACCAGCAAATGAACGTACACCTACACAACACAAATTCATTCCCCCCCCCCCCTCCCACATTCTGAGACCTATTGAGTTGTTTTTTTTTCTACATCGGGAAAAATGAAATTGACACTGTTACTCAATCAATTCTGTAGGATATAATTTTCCTCGAATATCCTAATCCGTCTTCATCGAGCTTCTAGACCAGTATCGATACCTCATTAAGCTGATTAGTAGTTGTAGGATTTCTGAATGCCCAGACATTTTAGGCAGAATTTAATCTTAGTCGGTAATGGACTAAATTGTGGGGAGGGGGATGGAAGAGGGGGGGGGATTTCTTGGATAAATAGCACAGGTCTAGGGCACAGTTGAGACACAGACAGGCTTCATTTAAGACACAGATTTAGGCTTCATTTAAGGCACTGACATACGCTTCATTTAAGGCTTTATTTATTTCTAGGCATGAGTTAAGATACATGCCTAGGCCTCTGCTCTTGTCGTTACCAAGCCTATACATTTCACCATTGTCCACTCCCTCCTCCTATAGTGTAAGACTCAGCTAAAGCTAATGCTGGTATTGTAGCTCCATGCTACTTATTTAATTACATTTCACCATTGTCCAGCTCCTATACTGTAAGACTCATCTAAAGCTAATGTCCACTATTACATTTCACCAATGTCCACCCCCTATACTGTAAGACTCCCCTAATGCCGGTACTGTAGCTCCATGATTTTGCTCCACCCACAGATCTGTCAACACTTCTATGTACTACTTTTTGTATTACATTTCACCAATGTCCACCCCCTATACCGTAAGACTCCCCTAATGCCGGTCCTGTAGCTCCATGATCTTGCTCCACCCACAGATCTGTCAACACTCCCACGCTGAGATGCGAGCCTGGGGAGCCGAGGCCATCACAAGCCTGGTCAAGGCAGCTTTGGCCTACAAATACGAGGAGCCGCTGTGTGAAAATCTGGTAAGTTCCCGGCTAGTCTACACCCAGTTGCCAGTTAAGTCGTCAACTTCATCGCCTACAACCTAAACATGTTCAACACCTCTCATGCATCCCACCTGCCCTTCACATACACCACACACCCACACAAATACACACACACACACACACACACACACAAACATACACACACATACACCACACACACCACATACACATCACACACACACATACACACCACACACACACATACACTCCACACACACACACACATACAAACACTACACACACATAAATAAATGCATCACTTAACTTGTAGCAAGGGGTGCAGGAGACCCAAGTGACGCCCCTAACCCCACACGTTCTACTTATGACGGGTTTAATCTCAGCTACCCTGGTGGGGTGGGGTGGGGGCGGAGGGGGGGGGGGGGAGAGAGTGACCTCATGTATTCAATATGTAATGGAATCTGAAATGATGGGCGGGGATGACATCATGTATTCAACATGTAATGGAATCTGAAATCAGATTGCAAGCTTTGCAGAAGTTTCATTAAAGTACAAGAAAATAATTCGTGTTGATGTGCCAGCATTTACATAGGTCGTCAGGTTAATCCATCTAGATGGTGAGGAGTTAACTGTTGTGGCAGGGATTAGTAGACTGATATGAAGAGGATTAGTAAAAATTTAATTGGGCGGATTAATGTGGTGCCATGGCAAGGATTAGTATGTTGTCATAGCGAGGATTAGTATAATGTCATTGGACAGATTAATGTGGCGCCAAGGATTAGTATGTTAACATAACGAGGATTAGTATAATGTCATTATACGGATTGATGTGGCGCCTTGACAAGGGTGAGTATATTAGCATAGCGAGGATTAGTATAACGTCATTGGAGGGTGTGTTTCGATGACAAGGATTAACTTGGCCCCATGTATAGGTGTAAAACCACCTGGTTGCATTAGTCCTGTGGTGGCCAATGGCACAACTTTAGAGGTAATTCTCAATGTTACAACTTTGGAGCTGATTCTACCAAAATGTGTCAACTACAGATTCCAATAGCACGATATATCCTCAGTACACGTGTGTGCTGTGTGTAGGTTTACTTCGAACCGTGTGTCATAATACTGCTCACATCTATTTTTAGTTTTTCTCTAGCTGCTGAATTCTGTTCTACATTTTATAACCTACTGATCTATTTATTTTTAAAATTAATCAGAATAATTCGAATGTAACGACATAATTATAAACAACTGAGTACCTAAATGAGTTTTATTCAGTCTTTCTCAAGGCGTGTATGTTAAAAACTGTTCACAATAATTTATATCCAAATGAATTGCCTCGTTTGAAGTGACTTTGCTGATTAAAATCTGCTTATAACTTTTAAATCGTTTAAACTGTTTTTGTAAAAACGAAGTTTTTATACAATGCAAAGTAGACGTCATACAGGCATTGGCAGAGTACAGGCGTTAATCTTATAGATTAAGCTGTTGGATTAAATTGGCCGTATAGGTTAATCTAGGGCTTAATTTGACCTGTATATTAAGCTAGTATACTTTACCCGATTGATTAAGGTGATAGATTAACTTGACCCTATGGTTGAAGGTGGAAGATTAACTTGACCCTCTGGTTGAAGGTGGAAGATTAACTTGACCCTATGGTTGAAGGTGGAAGATTAACTTGACCCTATGGTTGAAGGTGGAAGATTAACTTGACCCTATGGTTGAAGGTGGAAGATTAACTTGACCCTATGGTTGAAGGTGGAAGATTAACTTGACACTATGGATTAAGGTGGTAGATTAACTTGACACTATGGATTAAGGTGGAAGATTAACTTGACCCAATGGATTAAAAGAGAATATTAACTTGGCCCTATGGATTAAGCTGATGGATTATCTTGACCATTCCAGAAGCTACAGAGCACGATTTTGTCCCCGCTCCAAGAGCTGTCCAGCATCCCGTACAACGACATCCGGCACCGTCAGCTGGAGAGTGTGGCCCACATCCTACAGAACACAGGGGCCCAACTGCTGCACGGCTGGTCCACGGTGCTAGGGATCATTGGAGCCGTCACCAAGGAGCATGGGTAAGTCGGGTTGTCACAGGTCGGGTTGTCACAATTCGTCACAGGTCGGGTTGTCACAGGTCGGGTTGTCACATCCTACAGAACACAGGGGCCCAACTGCTGCACGGCTGGTCCACGGTGCTCGGGATTATTGGGGCCGTCACAAAGGAGCATGGGTAAGTCGGGTTGTCACAGGTCGGGTTGTCACAGGTCGGGTTGTCACATCCTACAGAACACAGGGGCCCAACTGCTGCACGGTTGGTCCACGGTGCTAGGGATCATTGGAGCCGTCACCAAGGAGCATGGGTAAGTCGGGTTGTCACAGGTCGGGTTGTCACAATTCGTCACAGGTCGGGTTGTCACAGGTCGGGTTGTCACATATCAGGTTGTCACAAGTCGGGTTGTCACAAGTCGGGTTGTCACAAGTCGGGTTGTCACAAGTCGGGTTGTCACAATTCGTCACAGGTCGGGTTGTCACAGGTTGTCACAGGTCGGGTTGTCACATATCAGGTTGTCACAAGTCGGGTTGTCACAAGTCGGGTTGTCACAAGTCGGGTTGTCACAAGTCGGGTTGTCACAGGTCGGGTTGTCACATATCAGGTTGTCACAGATCGGTTTGTCACAAGTCAGGTTGTCACAGGTTGGGTTGTCATACAGTTTATCATTGGGTTGTTATAAGTGATTTGGTGGTTGAATGAGAAAGTGGAACGATCACACTATTGTGTTTAAATAAAGAGGTCGCAACAGCAGTAGAGCCGGCAGTACAAAGCTTCCTATTTACTGGGGTGTTCTCTAGACCAGGGGTCTCCAAACTATGGCCCGCGGGCCAAATGCGGCCCGCGAGGTTCTCTACTCCGGCCCGCGGCGATCTTTTTGTCCACAGAATAAATGTTTGTTAGAGGTTGCTGAGAAACCAAGGCCAGAAAATTCAAAACAATTTGAAAAGGTAGCTTTGGGTGCAAATACCATTGCCCGCCGTGTTGCAGGCATTGGTGAAAACATCGTGACTCGAATAGCGAAAAATGCAAGCAAGTTTCGCAATTTTTTAATTGTAATGGATCAGTTGCTGGACAGCTGTTCCACATCTCAATTGCTTATGTTCATTAGAGGTGTGGATGAAGAGATGAACATAACACAAGAGCTGGCTTCCCTACATAGAATGTATGGCACTGTTACCGGAGAGAATATAGATAGTTCAGAGATATGTTAAAAGATAGAAACACGGAATCGCAAGATTTACCATATTTCACAGCAGTAAGATGGCTTATTTGCGAGAATTTTTTTTGAGCCGAGTATTTAAGTTAAGAAAGGAAATAGGTGACTTCCTTGAAGATTACAAGCTGATGTACTTACTGTCTGATGAAGAGTGGGTATAGAAATTGGTCTCTGCTGCAAACATAACTAGTCATTTAAATTTTCTGAACCTAAAACTTCAAGAGATGCACATTTATTTTCTGATCTATAAACCCACCCACCAAAAGGCTTTCATATCCAAACTTGTCATGTTTTTGGAAGAAGTACAAGCAAACAACTTGACGCACTCTCAGTAGTGCAAGGTCTTTACGGCTGAAGCAACCACTGAGTTCCCCACGTCATTTGCATACGAGATCATCAAAGATTTCAAGCTGCAGTTTCAATAGGTTCTCTGACTTGGATTCAAAGGCAGAAAAAAGTTAGATTGTTTCAGAACCCATTTGAAGAAAATGTGGCCAGTCTAGGGGAGGGGGGGGGGGGCACTTGAAATTTTTTTATATATTTCTATATAAATTATATTTCGTTAAGGGGGGGGGGGGCGGTACACGTTCTTGGGGTGGGGGGGGGGGCACTACCACTCCGAAGAGATATCTTGAAGAAACTCTGGCCTCCGAACTGATATTTGATAGTTAATGCGGCCCTCGGGCTGAAAAGTTTGGAGACCCCTGCTCTAGGCGAAGGATTCCTCAAAACTCCATCAGCTGGTCTAGGCTCACCTTCCCATAATGCCAGAGACTCGGAATATTCTGGAGATATTCTTACTCTGTCTATATTGGTTGGTTGAAATTTTTTTTAAAATGTTTTCCCATACAGAAGTTGATTTCCCATCACCTCATGGAAAAGTTGATTGTTAAGTAAATCTCTCCCGAGAGTTGATTTTTGAGAGAAGTTGATTTTTATAGTTCACCTCTCCCCAAAGAGAATTTGATTTTTTTATTCCTGATCTTCCCCGAGAAAATTTGATTGTTGATATCTCGTCTCCCCAGATAAAAGTTGATTGTTGATTTCTCATGTCCCCAGAGAGAAGTTGATTGTTGATTTCTCGTCTCCCCAGATAAAAGTTGATTGTTGATTTCTCATGTCCCCAGAGAGAAGTTGATTGTTGATTTCTCATGTCCCCAGAGAGAAGTTGATTGTTGATTTCTCATGTCCCCAGAGAGAAGTTGATTGTTGATTTCTCGTCTCCCCAGATAAAAGTTGATTTTTTTATTTCTCGTCCCCAGAGAGAATTTGATTGTTGATTTCTCATGTCCCCAGAGAGAAGTTGATCCAACAAGCGTTCCAGTGCCTGCAGCTTGTGGTGACCGACTTCCTGCCAATCATCAAACCTGTGTACCTGCAGGTGGTCGTACAGGTGGCCGCCAAGTTTGGACTACAGCAGCAGGAGCTTAACGTCAGTCTCACGGCCATCGGGCTCTTGGTCAGTCCCTTTGTTAACCGGGCTCTTGGTCAGTCCCTTTGTTAACCAGGCTCTTGGTCAGTCCCTTTGTTAACCTGGGCTCTTGGTCAGTCCCTTTGTTAGCCTGGGCTCTTGGTCAGTCCCTTTGTTTCATAACCAGGGCTCTTGGTCAGTTCCTTTGTTAACTAACCTGGGCTCTTGGTCAGTTCCTTTGTTAACCTGGGCTCTTGGTCAGTTCCTTTGTTAACCTGGGCTCTTGGTCAGTTCCTTTGTTAACCTGGGCTCTTGGTCAGTTCCTTTGTTAACCTGGGCTCTTGGTCAGTCCCTTCGTTAACCTGGGCTCTTGGTCAGTTCCTTTGTTAACCTGGGCTCTTGGTCAGTCCCTTAGTTAGTTGACCCGGGCCCTTGGTCAGTCCCTTCGTTAGTTAAACTGGACTCTTGGTCTCATACATACATATATATATATATATATATATATATATATATATATATATATATATATATATATATATATATATATATATATATATATATATATATATATATATATATGCATGGTTGTTTGGGAAAGAGCTAATTTTTTTAGATGGATAGGTACAAGTAATTAGTGGGGTGGGGAGTGGGGAGGTGGGTTATTGCCTAGGGAATAACGACAAGAGTTAATGATCAGGTAGATGGGATATGGGTTCTGCTCCTGTTTTATGTTTTATTAACATTCAAGCTACATTTTTTGTAAAATTAAAATTTTCATTTTCTTAATCTTCCGTCCAGTGGAATATCTCCGACTTCTTCTTCCAAAACCGCCAAAGAATCAAACAGGAACTGGACGCTGAGGGCAGCCAGGCAGATGTCTGCCCCAGCACAGACTCCATCAAGGCACCACCGCCGTTTGATGCCCTGTGGATGTGCCTGTTCTCGCAGCTGGGTCAGCTGTGTGTGGACTCGAGGCCAGCCGTCAGGAAGAGTGCTGGGCAGACGCTGTTCTCTACCATCTCGGCCCACGGCACCTTGCTGCAGCACCAGACATGGCACAACGTCCTTTGGCAGGTAAATGGTACAGGTGACATACCTGGTACAGGTGACATACCTGGTACAGGGGACATCCCTGGTACAGGTGATATACCTGGTACAGGGGACACACCTGGTACAGGTGACATAATGGTACAGGTGACATGGCTGGTACAGGTGACATATTCTACAGGGGACATACCTGGTACAGGTGACATTTTCTACAGGGGACATACCTGGTACATGTGACATTTTCTACAGTTGACATACCTGGTACAGGTGACATTACTGCTACAGGTGACATACCTGGTACAGGTGACATTACAGGTACAGGTGACATTACAGGTACAGGTGACATTACTGGTGCAGGTGACATTACAGGTAGAGGTGACATTACAGGTAAAGGTTACATAACAAGTACAGGTGACATCTGGTACAGGTGACATGCCTGGTACAGGTGACATTACAGGTACAGGTGACATACCTGCTACAGGTGACACAGACTACATGGAACATATCGAGTACAGGTGACACCTAATGTTGTAGACCTGGTTCCCACTTTAACCTTGAACTTCCCCAGGTGTTGTTCCCGCTTTAACCTTGAACTTCCCCAGGTGTTATTCCCACTTTAACCTTGAACTTCCCCAGGTGTTGTTCCCGCTTTAACCTTGAACTTCCCCAAGTGTTGTTCCCGCTTTAACCTTGAACTTCCCCAGGTGTTGTTCTCACTTTAACCATGACCTTCTCCAGGTGTTGTTCCCACTTCTAGAAAACGTCCAGAAGTTCTCCAGCTCTGCCTCCACCATCCGCGACAAAGAATCCACCGGCAACATCCTGATCCACCACTCCCGCGACACGGCGGAGAAGCAGTGGGCGGAGACCAGAGTTCTCTCGCTTGCCGGGGTCGCCAGGACGTTCAACGCCAAGAGGAAGATGTTACAGGGGCTGGGTGAGTGGATAGACTCAGTGTCTCTCACACACTCTCTCACACACTCTCCCTCACATGTTGCAGGGGCTGGGTGAGTGGATAGACTCGGTGTCTCTCTCACACACTCTCTGACAATCACTCTCTCACACACTCTCACACATTCTCCATCTTGTATAAGAATTGTGTGATAACAATGCAGACAGCAACATGATGAAGTCAAGTTGTCCTTTACTCGTGTTTCCAGCGTCTAGATCTGTGGGGTTCTGGAACAGGTTTCCAAACCCCCCCCCCTCTCCCCGCCCACTTTTATAAATGGGGGGGAGTAGTTTCTGTCAAGAACTACCTGCAATTTAAAAGTTTTAATTTTACATGTTTGTTTTTTTGTTGTTGTTTGTTTCAAATGTCTCCTGCAGACAGACAGAGTTTCTTCCCGCCCCCCCCCCCGAAAATTTTAAGTGCCCCCCCTCCCCCGGAGAAAAAACTCTGGAAGAACCACTGCCTGCAGGAAAAATAATTTACACTATACTATAAGCCAAGATCTATTCAGCTAAACCAGGGGTCTCCAAACTACGGCCCGCGAGGTCCACTTATCCGGCCCGCGGAGATATTTTTGTCCACGGAAAAAAAACGTTTGTTGGCGATGGCTGAGGAACTTTGCCTAGAAAAATTAAAGAAACTGGCCCCCGAACTGAAATTCGATAGTTAATGCGGCCCTCGGACTGAAAAGTTTGGAGACCCCTGAGCTAAACCATGGAAAAAAAATATATTGTTTAAAAACTTGCAACACTGCATAAGTACAAAACAACAAAATCGCACCATCCTAACTGGCAGAATACCACCCCTCCACCCTGTTATTGTTTTATTGTCCTTTACCCGCCCCACCCTCCACAATGTTTCCACTTTTCATGCAATCCACCCACCATAAAATTATTACATAATCCTCACCCTACGGTACTCAGTTCAAGTAAGCCATTAGAAAACATGTTTTAATTTATACAAATTGTATACTTGTCACAACAAAACACGACCCATCAAAAGCACAATAAATAAAGCGGAAATGAACTCCCCTAAACTTTCTCGTGTATTCTTATATCAAGGTAATGAGGGTGGCACTCCCGGTGCAGTCGGGCTATAAAAATGTTTTTGTTAAGTTTTTAAATACTTTTTTTTTTATAGAATAGAATCGCGCACCAAGTGAACGCAATGTGTGTTTAATAGAGCCAATTTAAAATAACTATTGCCATAGCACCCCCCCCCCTTCCTGAAAAGTTAGTCCGCCCCCCCCCCCTCCCCCGATAATATCAAGTGCCCCTCGGGAGAAAAAAGTCTGGAAGAAACACTGCTTTGAGAACCTCCTAGAGACGGGAACAATACATTAAAAATATAGACCTCACCATAACAAGTCGCCTCTATCAACATTACACAATTCAACAAAAACTATTTCGTTCAAATTTTGGTGTGACCGTAGACCTTCCTCTAGTTAAGCTAACGATGTTAGCCAACCAGGAAGAAATCCAGTTTAGACGTTTAGAATTTAATGGAGACCCTGGGGTTTAGGGCAGATTGTAATGTGGTGAATGTTTTTATAAAAACACATTTGGTTCAAATATTACGTAAAAATATGTAAACAATTTGATGAGTGCGTTTTTTTAAAAATGTTTTCCGTGTTTATGAATAGGTGGTTTGTTACGTCTTAAATATTTATTCCTCCCTCTTGCCACTAAATGGGTTTTTATTTTTTCCATTATTTCGCGAATATTAAAGGGTTAAGATAATTCGTATCAGGGATGTCTTACCATTTCGAGCTCGGGATTTGAACTTGAGACTTAAGGGTTAGCAGTTGTGCGACCTCGCCATTTCATTATTATTTGAATGGGCATCTAATATCTTGCCCCATGCCATGACGTCACATTACTATCTGAATGACCTAATACCATTACCCCTCCCCCACCAGGGGACTTCCCCAGAGCCTGGTCCCTACTGCTGGATCACATCGAGGTGTCCGCCCTCTGCAGGAACGCCGAGGTCTCTCTAGCCGCGCTCAAGAGCTTCCAGGAGATTCTACAGATCGGCCGGGCTAGTCGGAGCTTTGAGGACGGGGACAGCACGGTGCAGGGGGCGATAGAACCCCCCTCAGGGGAAGTCATCAACAGAACAGGGGAGGCTACCAGCAAAAAACCCGAGCTCTGCTCTAAAGGACCGATCTCCGATTCCTCGGACAACGACATCCCGCTGTGGTCGGCCGCGTGGAGGGTGTGGTTGAACATCGGGATGGAGGTGACCAAGCCGCCGGAGCCTTCAGAGAAAGTGGCTGGGCGGGTTTACCTCCCCTCGCAAAACTTTTTGACGGCGTTGATCCAGACGTTCCCTCCCCTGTTTGAACACATCAAGTCCAGGTTTGTGGGGGCTGACCTGCACAAGCTGTCCACGGTGCTGAGGGGTACGCTCTGTGTGCCCGTACAGAACGATTCCTCCCCCTTCATCATCCCCTCCTACCCTGAGGTCACCGTGACCCCGCTACAAGAGGCAGCTTTGTCGGCGATGGAGACTCTCATCAAGGTAGGCAACTTATGTAGTCTTACAGTAAGGTAGATAACTTATGTAGTCTTACAGTAAGGTAGATAACTTATGTAGTCTTACAGTCAGGTAGACAACTTATGTAGTCTTACAGTAAGGTAGACAACTTTCTTACAGTAAGGTAGACAACTTATGTAGTCTTAACTCAAGATACGCAACTTCTTTAGCCTAATTTAAGGTAGACAACTTCCTTAGTCTTACTCAATGTGGATCACTTATATAGTCTAACATTAATGTGCATAACTTCTGCAGTCTCACACATTAGGGTAGTCGTACAATAGGTAACACATGGTGTAGTCTTATTTACTGTGGATAACGTGAGTTTCCCTTGCAGTACAGTACATACTCCATTGTACATGAATAGTTATTTGTTCTCTCTGATTGTTGAAGTCAATTTGAGATCTGTTGGTCATCGTCTTGGTGGTGAACTTAACTTTGGGTCTGCTAGCTCTGAAATCACGTTTTTTACACAGTACAAACAATGTGTAACCCTAACCAATTCACACAATTTGTAACCCTAACCGATTCACAAATTTGTAACCCTAACCAACTCACACGATTTGTAACTAATGTAACCCTAACTTGGCCACCTTGCCCCCAGGCCGTCCAGAGTGGCCCAGACAGCATGCAGGCCACCTACCCCGACATCTTCCATCAGCTGCTGACCTTCATCACGTTTGGTGTCAACGCCCCCAAGTTCGGTGACCTTGAGGCTAAAACCTTCGGCATCGTACGTGGACCACAGGTCAGTGCCGCCATATTGGTGTCCCAATCTATCTTCTGCTGCCGCCATATTGGTGTCCAAATTTGTCTAAATTAAAAGAAAAAGAACGCACAGAATATTTCATTGGAGATGGCAAGACTTTAATCAACCGTTTGAGATTAAAATCTTGAGTTGTGATATGTTTTTTACCTGTTTTATTTTTGGTTTTTTTTATTACTTGGCCAAGTTGTAACCATGGTAACCACTTGACATGGGGTGGGCGGGGCGGATGTGCCAATAATGTCCTAAAGCTGGGTCAACCCTGGTCTGTCCACAGTCGGACTGGGTCATCATGAACTTTGTGCCCTTCGCTGAGCGGGCCGTGTCCATGGCGGTGGACCTGTACCGTAGCACGGCCACTCACCCGGCGGTCATCAGCTCGCAGATCTTACAGCACATTCTCAAGGTGAGTCACGTGACTGGTGGGTGACGTCACACTCGACACGGGTGGGTGACGTCACACTCGACACAGTGAGTGACGTCACACTCGACACAGGTGGGTGACGTCACGCTGTACACAGGTGAGTGACGCCACACTCGACACAGGTGAGTGGCGTCATAGACACACTGAGTGAGTGGCATCACACTGTAGAGATGAAAGCGACAGCATACACTCCACGCAGGTGGTTGATGTAATGGATACACTTGACACACAGGTGTATGACATGACAGCCACCCTGTACACAGGTGATTGACCTCATAGACAAACTGTTGACAGGTGGGTGACGTCACACTGTACACAGGTGAGTGACGTCACATTGTACACAGGTGAGTGATGTCACATTGCACACAGGTGAGTGATGTCACACTATATACAGGTGAGTGACGTCACATTGTACACAGGTGAGTGACGTCAAATTACTCAGATGAACACTGTACACAGGTGAGTGTAGTTATAGAAACATTCTGCACATGTGGGTGACATAATGTACACACTTTACACAGGTGCATAAGATGACAGCAACACTGTACAAATCACATTTTGGACCAAAAACTTCATCCCTTTTACAAACTCATTAGCTGGAAGTCCAGTCCTCTTATTGTGAGGCTATGGTTTTACTTATGTAACACTCCATATTTAGATTGTCAGGCCTACATCAATGTTACCACTTATCTTTTGTTTGTAACAAACAAAAAGTTTTTTTACTAAAGAATATGTTTGGTTATCATGAAATAAAAACAAGACCAAATGGTTTTCTTGAAAACATTTTAATTAAAATCAAAAGATGAGCCCAACAATGTAAAAAATATATAAACACGTGCTGCTATAAAAATAGAAATGGATAACACAAGATAGGGATTAAAGTAAATACACTTTGTACACGCATTTTTATGTACACCCTTGTACACACATGTTTTATGTACAACCTTGTACACACATTTTTAATGTACACCCTCGTACACGCAAACACCAGTCAAAGGAAACTATTTTTGGTTTTACTACAAGCACCAATATAAAAATGTGTTCTAGTTGGGCAGGGGAAAGGTCTGGTCTTTGGTGACTTCTTTCCAGAATAATTCTTTAATTCATGGGTTCTGGTCAAACTGATGGCCCTTTACTTTAACATGTATTGAAATGTGAAGATTCAAACGTATTAAAATAATAAGCTTAATCAAATAAAAGTTTTTAATTGGTAAGTTAAAAAACTATGTGCTTTTTTTAAAAAAAAAAAGATATAATGAAAATGTTTATTCTTGGTAATTAATTAATACTAATAGTAACTATAATATTGAAGTCTTTAAAATGTATTATCCAAGCTACAAAAGACTTGAATATGTAAAACTATACACGGCCATGTCTTCTGTGTCTATTGTCTAGACTTGTGTCCCTTGATCCCAATTTACAACAACTTGTGTCCCTTTAACATGAACTTGGTGCCACTGGGGAACCTTCACTAGAATGTCTTGTCTAGATAATAATTTACCATGATCTGCATCTTTATCCATGAATATATTTAAACTGCTATCATTGATAGCAGTTTAAATATATTCATGGATAAATAGTATCAAAGTTTTTTAATTCCAATAAATTTAAACAAGCAACAAATAAAATCCATCTTGAATTAATTTCTGTTAAAAATTAAGTACCCTAATAATTCCCCTTTTATGGGTACATATCTATCACAACATCCAACAGAAGTGTATATGTGAATACCATATGATGGTATTTTATTCATACAACAAATGTCACATACATTTTATATACATGTATTTTGCTTTGTAGCATACACCTCCATACATGTTAGATGTAACTTAACTGTGCCATGATTTATGGCATATTAACATAAGTCTACCAAACACAGAGACAAAAATCCTCCTTAGTAATTATGTACATAAAAAACATATTATGAGCAAAAATGCTTATGTTTTTGTAACTCCTTTTTATACATAGTAAGCATAAATTAATTTTAAATAAATAAACATCTGACTATACACATTTACATTTTTTTTAGATCTACATCAAACTAGAAATAGAAAGATTTTCGTGTTTTGTCTAAATTAAGGGAAGTAATTAGATAAAGCTAAATGTACAGTTCGACAAAAATTGTGTTATCTCCCGTGCAACGCTTGTCAAACTCCGATAATTCAATATTTAACATTAGCGTAAAGACGCCTGAAGCTAAACATTGCTTTAAGAGCACAGGTCTAAATTAAATATTGAAATATTTGTAATTTACCGAGCTTGATTCATTTTTTTGACACGAAATTTAACCAAATTTTTAAAAATTATTTTAGACAAAAGTTATACTTTCCTACCCTACATATAAATAATTTTTATCAATTAATACTAATAGTTTCGCTGTCTGTCTATCTATCTATCTGACAAGAACGCTCTAGAGAAAACACAAGGAAAATAAAAACATGCACAGTAATTCGAAAAACGAAGTATGACGTCGACACATTTAGCGCACAGAGTAGAAAATAATCTCAAACCCAGAGAGTGCTCAAAGTTATATGACGTCATTGATTTTCGCGTTAACATTGAATAAAAAGGAAATGTTGTCTAATCTTAATGGTTTGCGTGAAGAGTTTCTTGCATACAATTCTTCGGGTAGGGGCGAAGCCCCACCCCCCGCGTAAGAATGTCTGAGACCCCCCCCCCCCCCTCGGGGAGGGGGCGGACACTGGAAAAAGTATATAATTATATTTCGTTGAATGGGACGGTAGACATGTTTTTTTTTTTGGGGGGGGGGGGGGGTGGGTGGGTGGGTGGGGGGTGTGGTGTGTGTGGGGGGTGGGGGGTGGTGTGTGTGGGGGGTGGGGTGGTTTTAGTTTAGACTTTTTCCTCCCCAGAGAGGGGTGGGGGTACTTGAAATTTTCGGGGGCGGGGGTAGAATTTTCGGGGAAGGGGCGGACACTGGAAAAAGTATATAATTATATTTCGTTGAATGGGACGGTAGGCATGTTTTTTTTTTTGGGGGGGGGGGAGGGGTGGGGGGGTGGTGTGTGTGGGGGGGGCGGTGTGTGGAGGGGGCGGTGTGTGTGGGGGGTGGGGGGGTGGGGGTGGGGGGTGGTGTGTGGGGGTGGGGTGGGGGTGGTGTGTGTGGGGGGGGGGGGTGGGTTGGTTTTAGTTTAGAGAAAAGAGACAGCACTATCAAGCTAGCGCCCGGTGTATCCTTCCTCAACGGGCCATTTTTCTCGTTGATAAGAATTTACTTAGTTAACTCATTGCTTGTCTTAAAAACAAAAATGACACTTCAGAAACATTGCTTTATATGTTAAGCATGAGCAAAGCGAAACCACTTCCCCCCCCCCCCCCCTCCAAGTGTTTGACAGAAACCTAACCTCCAACCCTCCCCTCTATGGGACCTCCTACAAGACCTGTAGGTGTAGGCAAACACCGCCCAGTCTCCCAAGTTTGACATCACGTGTCCTGTGCCGAGCACGTGACCCCAGTATACCCACCGCCCCCTTCCTTATTTTTTATACCTCCTGATGACCCCTTGACCCCCATGATGACCCCAGCTAAAAGTTGTAAATCCTGTGCCTCAGTTCCTTTTGACCGCTTGATCCCCATGATGACCCCTGATGACCCCTTGACCCCCATGATGACCCCAGCTAAAAGTTGTAAATCCTGTGCCTCAGTTCCTTTTGACCGCTTGATCCCCATGATGACCCCTGATGACCCCCCCTGGTTGACCCCCATGATGACCCCCCATCTAACAGTTGTAAATCCTGTGCCTCAGTTCCTGTTGACCCCTTGACCCCCATGATGACCTCTGACCCCCATGATGACTCCCCATCTAACAGTTGTAAATCCTGTGTCTCAGCTCCTGCATCTCTTTAGCCACGAGCGCCACCTCCGCCTTGAGCCTCATGTTGACCCCCATGATGACCCCTGACCCCCATGATGACCCCCATCTAACAGTTGTAAATCCTGTGTCTCAGCTCCTGCATCTCTTTAGCCACGAGCGCCACCTCCGCCTTGAGCCTCATGTTGACCCCCATGATGACCCCTGACCCCCATGATGACCCCCATCTAACAGTTGTAAATCCTGTGCCTGAGCTCCTGCATCTCCTTAGCCACCAGCGCCACCTCCGCCTTGAGCCTCATGTTCTCCTCCTCCAGCATGATCACCCTCTTGGCCACCATCTCCTCTTTGTTCCGCCTCGCCTCCCTCGACCTCTTGGCGCTCTCGTTGTTTTTCCGGCGTTTTTCCAGGTACGCCGGATCTTTTCCGGACATTTCCGACCCGCTGCTGCCGGAAGGTCGATCCGCTGGGCCGGAGGAGGTGGACGTTTCGGAGTGGGTGCGTTTTAGACCTGGGTGCCTGGGCTGCTGAAGGTGGGCGTTGAGGGTCGGGAAGTCTGCCAGAAAGTCTGGCATTGGGGAGCTGATGGGGGACTGGCTGGACACGTCATCGGCGCTGTCGCTCAGCTCTGTCTTGACGGGATACACGTGGGGCGTGGGCATTCGGTCACGTGATGCGGACATTTCATGGCGTGATGCGGGCATTTCATGACGTGATGCGGGCATTTCATGGCGTGATGAGGGCATTCCTGGACGTAATCCTGGCTTTTCATGGCGTAATGCGGGCATTTCTTGATGCGGTGTGGGCATTTCATGACGTGATGCGGGCATTTCATGGCGTGATGCGGGCATTTCATGGCGTGATGCGGGCATTTGAAGACTTGATGCGGGCATTTCTTGAAGCGGTGTTGGAAGTTGGTGTGTCCTAATGCCGATATTTCCCTGACCTGCTTTGTTTGAATGCCGTAGCTCTGTAGAGATGGAGTTCATTAAACCCTGGCTGAAAACATTTGGAGACTTGGCAGGTACATCAGGGATGTTGGAACTATGAGCTGTGGTAGAGGAAGTGGCATTTTGTCTGGGTGTTAGCGATCTTTGTCCCAGCATGTTTGCAGATGTAGCCGCCAGCATGTTGGCAGATGTTGTAGTGGCCG